AGCTGCCTGAACCCCTACATGGGATCGTGACGTCGCCATAACTCACTCTACCCTTTCGTGCCTACTGTTGTGATCTCTCCCCCCACGCGTATTACCTCTCACTAAAAGTCCACACGCGTCACTTCAATACCTCCCAAGGGGGACAATCCTCCTGCCACTGTCCACAACAGTGTTCGGAAGAGAATCGCAGGGTGCCAGAGGGCGAACACTTAATGGGATTGATTGCCTAGCTCCATAAGGCACCATTCGCGGCAACTTGCAGACCCTGATCCGGGCCAGGGTCATGGCCGTCGATATGACCACCAATGAAAACATCACTTGCGATGAGCCCCAACCCCCTTAAGTTGTCAATGCCTATCTCGGAGCCATATTTTCGTAGGCGTGGTGAGCTAGTTGTAAATGCTGAATGGACACTTGCCTGCTAGGAGATTTAGGTTCATCCCTTCTTCAGGTACTCTGCTCCGTAGTGGCGGCCGTAGGCTCCGTTCTGAGTTCATCTGACGACCAAAAAAGAATCAGAGTCATTTTTCAAAAGCAGTTATCAAGTCGAGTTGAGCGATCTGTGGCGCGGTAAGCCGCTTTGGCAGCCTGGCCAAAAAAGGTCGTTATGCTTGCTCTGGCAGTTTGCTGGACTGATCGGGTCGGCTTGTCGTAGGTACCAGCGATATCTGACTGGCTTATCAATGTCCTGTTAGTACCTATCTCTCTGAAAGCACAGTGAAATCATATGCATGCACCCAACAGCCCGCCAAGATATTTTAAGCATGGTAACGAATAATACGACGAACTCCGATCCAACTACGGAAGCGTTCTCTGCTACGTTGTACGTACCTGCATAATATCGATGCACTAACCCAGGCTAGGATAGTGTCTGGCCTACCATGTCGATAAAAGAACCATTTAACCCCGGATTCGTCCACCTTTTAAGCAGTATCTCCAGGATCCAGGGTCTCTCGGCTAAACCCAGAGTGGAAATGCTCATCTTATTCTCGCCTGGGCCGAATCACACCTGGCCACGACAAGCAGGTCCCGGGCTTACGGCAGCGCGCCTTTGCTTCTCTCTCTCTCTTTTAGTTCTCTTTGCGAAGTGAATTCGGTCTGACGGGCGAGCACGACCAGATCCCAGACCGCGACCTGCTCGGTGGTCGTCGAGTCGCAGACTTTACTCCTCAAAGCCAGCTCGCGCAAAGTTTCGAGCGCGGCATGCCATTCCTTTCATTTCCGCGCCAATCGTCACTCATTTGGAGATTTTGAGACGGCAGCCGCCAAATCTCAGCCACTCTTTGAAAAGACTAGATAAAGAAAACTGGGTTTTTTACACAATCATGCGCCTTGACGCTCTCTATGTCCTGGCGTCACTGACAGCCTTGACGGCTGCCGCTCCAGCCCAGGCCGCAACTCAATCGGCGGCGGCAAACAGCGGGACTGTGTGGGCGACGCCGCACGACAGCTACTCGTCGTCTGTTGGCGTCCTCGGCTGCAAGGTGGACACCAACCGCATCGCCTACTGGCCCGGCTCCGTCGACTGCGACAGGATCTGCGTGTCCCTGAGCTACGAGGGCCGCTCCGTCAAGCTGCTCCGCGTCGACTCGTCCGAGGGCGCCCACGACGTCAGCTACGACGCCTGGAACTACCTCATCACCGGCGCGTCGGCCCGCAAGCACCCCACCGCCGGTGGTGCCGTCGCCATGGAGTTCGAGTATCTCGACCCCTCGTCCTGCTCGGACCTCATCCACACGGACAAGCACAGGCTGCCGCTGAGCGCGTCGAACAGTATCAATTTCCTGGCCAGTTGTCTGAGCCAGCCGGACAGCTGGGTCGCGAAGAACTATGTTTTATACAATATCCAGGATCCCATTTGCTCCTGGGGCCATGATGAGAAGTGTACACTTGACTGGCCGAACGCCAATCAACCTACCTGCTCTCATACGCTGGGTGACCCCGTCGCCTTGACGACGGACCCGGTCTACAATATTCGGTATCCTTCGGGCGAGCAGGTGCTTGCTTCTTCTGGACAAGTTGTGAGCAGTGGTGGAGATCCCGTAGACTCGGGGGACTCGGGTGCTGGAAAGCCTATATCGAGGTTATCAGAGCTGCCGGCCGTGGCAGCTACGATAAGCCTCTTGACTTATGAACTATTCTCTTCGTCGTGGCCGAGTTAGCAGGGCCGCAATACTATGTTTGGCGTTCGAAAGAGACAAGAAAGCGTGTTACGATTTTGACGAGTATGGGGTTTGGATCAGTCGGATACCCAGGAGGATCGTTCCCACCGCTGTTATTTGGAAGCGATGAGTTTTACTTTGGATACCCTGTTACGTTGATGTTTCTAAATTCGCTTACAGTCAAAAGCCATGACGCAAATATATAACATTCGAGTACCCTCTTGCACCTCTTGACAGGTGTGTTTATTTACCCGAAGAGCCATGTGAAATGACACGAGATATCCTACATATCAGCCATTAGCGATGAACGATCAAAACACACCCTGACCGGAAGGAACCATGCTACTCACCTTTGTATTCCTTCCTTCAAACTTTCCTCGTCTAGCGAAAACACAACGCGGAACCTGCCTGGCTCGGGGGCCCGGTAAGCCTCGCCCGTTGACATTGACACGCCAGCTTGCTCCAGCCGCTCGGATAGCAATCTCTGCGCCAACCAGCCGTCGCCCTTCGCCTCCGCGATAGGCAGAAAGGGACTCAAGTCGAGCCAGATGAAAAAGCCAGCATTCCTATCATATCAATCGCACATTCAGCTAGGTCTTCCATCCATATTGAGCGGGGTGAGGGGGTGCACTGTGATTAACAGTGCTGGCCGGATGGCGGAAAGAATGTCGAATGGAGCACTTACCCCTGATCATGGAAGCGAATGCCCGCTTGCGAAAGGAGGGACTCGGCCAGCAGCCTATCCCGCAGCAGTCGCGCGCGCGACTTCTCCAGGAAGGGCCGGCTATAGTCCTAGTCCTCGAGGAGGCTGGCCGCGATCTCCATGGAATACTGCGACGGCGAGGGGAACCGGCAGATGGCCCGCACGGCGTCGGTGAGCTCGCGGTTCTGCGATACCATGCAGCCCAGACGCAATCCGCCAGCGCCGAAATCCTGTAGAAGATTTCCTTCTTGTCAGGATGAGAGATGACTTTGACAATGTCCGGGGTGCTTAGTGACAGGGACAATACCTTGGACATCCCGTAGAGGATATGGACTTGCTTCGGGTCGATGATTCCCGAGAAGTCGATGGCCCGTACCGATGTGAAGGTCTCGGACAGTCGGTCGGCCCTCCCGTATACCGAGAGCGCGTAGATCTCGTCGCTGATCAGATGGATCCCCTTCCGAGCGCAGAGCTTCAGCAGCTCGACGAGAGTTTCTCGAGGGTAACAGTGCCCTAATTAACATCTCAGGACTGGCGTTCTCAGGAAGGGGGCAGCCCCACACCCGCCTAACTCACCAAGCGGGTTATGGGGGTTGCATATTATCAGCGCCCGGATGTTTCTGCCGCGCGCCTTCGCCTCCTCGTATCCGGTCTCGAAAGCAGCCACGCACGCGGGCGTGAACTGCTCCGCGTCGCCGACCGAAACGTATTCCAGGTCGACACTACCGCTGAGTTAGGAACTTGACTCCGGCAAGTGTGGACAAACGAAAGTGCGCTCTCTTACCCCGTCCGCATGTAGAGATCGCGGGAGAAGGAGCCGTAGACCGGGCCGCCCAGCATGATGGCCTCGTCGGCGTCGGGATTGCATGTGACCAGCGCACAGGCTTCGTTCAGGTCGGTCACCCCCGCGGCGAAGGTGATCTCCTCGGCGTCTACCGCATGCGCGGGCCCGAAATGCTTGTTGATATGGCTCGCCATCGCCTTCCGGAGCCTCAGGGTGCCGGTGTAGCCCTCGCCGTAGGAGCAAGATGACTCCTTGAAGGTCTCATCATCACAATCAGCCACCTGTTCATTGTTCAGGGGGCCTCCACTCACGAGGTTGTTTATGAAGCGCGTCAGGTCGGAGTGCATGAGCCACTGATATCCCGTTAGTGACGGCGCTTTGACGATCCCTTCTCGGCTTGCTGCAGTACATTTTCCGCATTGTCGAAGCTCACCACACACTGGGGATTATTTGTCGGATGATAACGATTTTGTGCCCCATGAGCATAGCCGATCTGTGCCCAACGCGCTCCTCTAGCAGACAGCATTATGGCGAGTCGGGTAGTCTGTAAAGTCGGGTAGGGCAGAAGTGATGAAGATGGTGGCTAATAGATGGGAAAGGGGTCAACGGTTGTAGCAATCACTTTAAACCTCGACCCCGCGTCTCTTGGGTCTTCCTCGTCTTTCGAAGTATCATCCAGGCGGGGTTATTAATGGGGTCTGGTCAAGAGAGTCCCATTCAGGATGCACTGCACGATGCCTAGACGCGTGATCCCGTGACAAGGTGGGCTAACACCAGCCCCTATCTGATTCCATTTCCTATTGCAGCCAGAGAGAATATCCTGCAGGAGTAGTGACGTTATTATGCCAATCATTGCTGCCTCATATAGCGCGATGTGGCAATACGTATATTGCGCATTCGAGTAGGATAAAGTCGAGAATAAACACTCACAATAACAATACGTTGTCGGGAGCTGTTAAACCTACTAGGTGCAATACAACTTATTAGTACAAAGATTATGTCTCCTCCTTGGTGTCATATGCACCTAATAGTACGCCTCTACCTTTCCACTTAGCTGTAGGCGAGACGCCATGTGCAGTTGTAGAAACGATTACCCTTGGGTTTCACAAGCAAGCCTGCCAAACCGCCTTCATTCACCCCGATCCCAACTCTGAAAATAAGCAAATCAAGTTCTTTCGTAAAAAAATAGCCTAATGCCAGACACTACCTTACATACTACCCCTCACGATGCGCCATTCCATGTCGACACCACCTTTCTAACGCTATATCTTCCCTCTTGCTTTCCTATTGGATAATGGGCAAAATAAGAACATACGGCTGAGAGAGGTTGAAAAAAATTAAAAAAGAATATCGCCCCAGGCGGGGGTCGAACCCGCAGCCTTCGGATAGACTTTAACAATACCTGATGATTTTTACCTCATCAGATGACTTGTAAAAGTCCGACGCTCTAACCAATTGAGCTACCAGGGCGCGCTACCGTATAGCTGTTGCACGTGGGATATCGGCCCTTTATGACACTTTATATAGATTCAATTTTCTTTCCATGCTGCACTCTGAGCACTTGGCCAAAGATACTCGGTCAAGTTAGAGGCCCATAAAACGAAATAGTATCGATAATGTTTCTACAAGCAACAAACCAAAACTTGGTTTCGTTTACCAAGTTTGAAAATTTTGAAATCGTTTCAGCGTACAATCAAAACACCGAGTGGCAGATGTCAAAGCACATACAAGGTAGGCTGGTATGAACCATGCTCACATAGTGGGTTTCATAGCGGGCCGAAGCGAGGTGTTTCCCAAGTACCTACCTTCAGCGGTCATCGACTCGAATAAGCCATCTCTACCCACGAGGTATCGACGCGAGCAGTGACAAAAGAGACTCCAGACCAACGCGAATCAGCCAACAACGAATAAACCCGTTTCTCTTGCGGGTCGAGTGATATGTGAGGCTCGCATAATGACAAATACGCCGTGCGCTCAACCCATGGTTGTTCGGTTCGTGCCCACGTAACCTGGTTGACGGCGGCCGCGGCACAGTAATCACGGGCGATGGCGGCTGGGACATCATTGCCGCTTCGGCTCCGCACTCCATTTCCTATACCACCGTGACCAATGATGGAATGGGCATGGGGCTCTTATCTCTTTCGAGCATGAGTCGACTATGCTCTTCCGAGTGTGCTGCTATGTACAGGGCGCGTATGGTGATACCCATCCGATAATGGAGCCCAGCGAGAGGAAGAAACATTGCTGCTTGGTTCCTTCGTATATTCGGAAGATTACCGCTCTCGGAACTCAGGGCTCGGTCGATGAGTGATCTTGTTCGTCTCGCCTTGGACATCTCAACGCCACCCCTTCGCCGAGACCAACGATAGGGGGAGCAAGATACATGACAATGGCATACTATAAGTCATCAATAACGTCAACAGGTCCTGTGACGATTGTGAGACGGAGGGCATAGACATGCCTATATATACAAGCAGCTATGTCTCTGTGCTTATGCGGGTTAGCCGATCACGGCCCAGCCATGCAACCAGGGCCGACCAGGCGTCACATCGCTTCGAGTATCATCCCGAACGCATACTATGCGCCAATTTTACTGTCTGTAGGGGTGCTGTGGAGCTATTGTTCGGCGTTACACCGCTACCTCCGTTGCAGCTCATTGCTCATACTATTTCCAGATAGTTAAAGGAAGGGGATGCAGACCTTTCGCCGCCGCGGGCTGGGGTGTGCCCAACCTACACTCCTAATCGACCATCTCCCGTCTCCCGTCCCCGCCAGCAGAAAGGAAAAACCAGCAGAGAGACAGGAACCGAGAAGAAGTAGAAGCAAAAGGAAGAAGCAAGGAAGCGAAGAAAAAAGAAAAGTCTCTCTTTCCCGCCAGCCATGGGTAAAGACGCCCCGTCCGTCCAGAAGGCCCTCGCGGCCGCCAAGAGCGCTACCACACTGCGCATCCACTTCCCCGAGGCGACCGTCTCGGAGGCCGGCAAGACGCTGACCATCAGCGCCACCAAGCTGACGCCGACGCTGTCGGTCCGCCTCGACGCCCTCGGGCCGGCCGGCGCGGCGGCGGGCAAGAAGTACGTCGTCGTCTCGCTCGACCCGGACGCGCCCTTCCCCTCCATGTCCTTCCTCGGCCCCGTCCTGCACGGCCTGCACATCGACGTGGCGCCCAACACCGCCGCCGCCGACGCCGACGGCTTCGCGCCGCTCGAGGGCCCCGCCGCCGAGTGGATGGTGTCGTACATACCCCCGGGGCCCCCCAAGCCCAGCTCCGCCCACCGCTACGTCTTCCTGCTGTACGAGCAGCCGCCGGGCCTCGACGTCGCCAAGGTCCGCGGCCTGCTCGGGCTCGCCGAGGAGGTCAAGCTGACGGCCCGGCTGTGGTGGAGCGTCGAGGCCGCGGAGAAGAAGCTCGGCCTCGGCGAGGTCCTGGCCGCGAATTACTGGGTCACGAGTCCGTACGACGTCTAAGAGGGAGGCGGAGTGTGGGTGGTATTGATGGAGCCTTGCGGGGGACAACGAGTCCGGATGTGGTGGCCGCTCAGTGTGCTGGCCATTAATGGGGTGCAACATCCGCGCCTGGGTCTTCAGGGGTCATGTTATGCTTTCTAGCGGTTTATTCTCCCCTTTACTTGTTTTGCCGGTGGCCCGGGTTTCTTTCATAGGTGCTGCTTACCCTGGGCTACTTTGTACTCCTTCGTTGTTTGCAGCATACACACTTTCATGAAGATGTTAATAGCAAGACTAGGGTAGATATCTGATAGATGCGAGGCTTGAAGGACCTGTTAAATATACCTACTCTCTCAGTCGTGAGGAAAAGGAATACCTCGTATTGTTACTCACAGTTAGGTTTGTCTCCGCAGATTATACCTACAGGCTGTAAAGAAAGTCTCTGGGCTCCTATAACAGTGGCGCCGTGGGGAGTGGGATGACTCCCAGAACTGGCACCGAAGTTGCCGCTACTAGATATAATACCAATCTATACATAAGATGTATATATATATATATATATTGTATTACTTGGGTTAACAGCTATCTCAGCCATACCAGCATCTATCCTGTTGACATATAGGTAAAAACTGTACAGCGCCTTGTCCTAGGGCGGCGGAGAGCTATCCCTTTTACGAGCCGCAGCCGGGTAAAAACCTCCTATACTCATAACCTGTTTCGCTGCCCCTTCGTATCTCCCTATATCCTTATCGTACTGCAGTACCTCTGCTCTGCAGTTCTTCCTCAGTGTTTCTCTGTGTCTCCGCGTACAACTCTTAAGTGGAGCCCATCGCAGGCCAGCCCCGGCTCCTCCCCGGTTCTTCTCCGGGTCTGGCCTGCCCTGCGTCCGCCCTCGCAGGTTCATCCTGCAAATACACAGAATATATTTACTTGCAGTATAGTGTGGTCTTATAAGCCTAATAACTGAGGTCAATCATCTATAAATTCCCCATTTATCTTTGCCGCCGCAGCTTGGATTACGGAGGGTATCCATTGAATACATGGCTGACCTGCACCGTATTGAACTCATCGACTTAGAAGGCATACTTCGTTATTCCAGATAATGGTAAGAAAACTATTTGCTACTATAGAGCGTTACAATGAAGAGATCAATATACATGGGAAGTCCTAGACAAGTAGCCGGGGAACTATCCCATATCCCCCGCCATATCTTTCTCACGCCGCGTACACTTCGCTACCAAAAGCCCCAATGCCGTCAATCTTGTAGTAGCCGCCCTCATAATCATTGTGCTTCTTACCATAACAGTTATCCCGCCTAGAAAGCTGGACATACTCCCTGCCCTCGCGCTTCTTCGTCGCATGGTCACCCAGGGGCGCCTTCATAGCGCGCAGGCACGTGTCGTGATCGACGACGTAGGACCCCTCGCGCTCCGTGTTGTAGATGGCGAAGACGATGTTGCCCGGGCTGCCGGGCTGCGTGTCGTCGTCCTGGTTGGTGAGCGAGATGGGGAACGTGTCCGACGTCTCGTGGTCCTTGTAGATGTCCGTGCCAACGTACGCACCGCCTAACCAAGATGCCGTTAATCGGGGAGGGGTTCTTCCGACACGCAGCGGGAAGAAAAAAAAAAAAGGGGGGGGGGGGGGGTTGTAAAACACGATAGACTTACAAAACTGATTAGCTACTTGGCTGAACTGATCCACGGGGATCCATTTCCCGTGGCCGTCGCTGCCGCCCTTCCCCGAGACGAGGTGGCCGCAGTTCATGACTTTGTCGCGAGCCCGCAGGCCGTCGCCGCGGCCGGAGAGGCCGCCGTCTTCCAGAGCGTGCATCTCAGCTTCCGTGATGGGGACATTGACTGCTGGGCCGCGAGCTTTCAGGCCCGCGTCCCGCAGTCTCTGGAGCTCCTCGTCCGAGATGGGAACGTTGACGTCTCCGGGCGTTGGAACACTAGAGGCGAGGGCGGAGAGAAGAGCCACTGAGAGAAAGAGCTTGGTATACATGATGATAGAAGGTGTCTCTTGAAGAGGCGCTAGGTTTGAATGGCTAATCGAAATGTAGTTGTAGGGAAGTGGCTCGGCGAAGCTGAGATGTATGTTATGATGGATAGACTTCTCCGAGACTGACCTTTGAAGGTTGGGAACGGGCTTTTATATCCAATCTTCGGGGCCCTTTCTGTCTAGTAGGCCTACGTAGTATGTATGAAAGCTAGATCCTTGAGTCGTAGGTTGAAGGTCGAACTCGACAAACCATCGTTTTGTTTAATTATAGAAGCAGAGCATCATCGAAGCACTACGTCAATGGTGTGATGCTACAAAGCCTTGATCTTTCTCGTATCTACGGCGGTCAGCCTGATCCAACTGACATCGTCAAACACTGGCCTTTTTTTCCTTCTTCATCTCAGAACCTAATTGGCAAGGACCCTGGAGCAACAACGATTGTATTCGATCTTCAGCTCAATCCTTCGTCTTAAAATACACCTTGTGGTCGTATGTGTTCTCGTGGATTGAACTAACACCTGATACAATACGCCGCCAGCCTCGGTAGGCATTGCCTCGGTTGATGCAGCCTTTCGGCCTGGACGATGTAGTATGGCTAGCCGACGTATCATTCCTATAATTATGTCTTAGGCATCTACTCACATTTCCTAATCAATTAGTTCTGAAATTGCGCCTCGTAGGAGTTATACGACCAAAAACCGTAAATTAGAGTTGTGGCGTCAGATGTGAAACTACGATTAATCCTCTACAGACCCCAACTTCTATTCCGAAATGCATCCTCCGGGTCCTCGGTTCGGCACCACGTAAGCAGCCCCCAAATTCGATCGGGGTTGATAAATCCCAGGGATGGCTGAATAGCTCGTGGGATGGTTGCGCAAGGGCAGGATACACCATCCAGCACGGCATCATGTCTACTGTTTGAACGCGGATACGTCGACGTTCATGTATAAAAAGTCGAGCGTGGGACGACAGGCATATACATGATGAGGTCCATTTCACACAGCTACCCGCCATTCCAACTCGTC